GGGGGGAGGGAGGGAGGGGGGAGGGAGAGCCCATAAGTGTCATCATTTTGGGAGCAACACAAGCTCCCAAGAGTAACAGGTCTCTCAAGATGGTGCTCATAGTTTTTCTATTTTTAGCTTCATTTTGATAAAAAAAATTTTTCACTGTTTTAAGACAAATCATATTGTTATGTATCTTTCACAATGCACTGGTTAGTTTCTTTTTTTTTGTTTGTTTCCAGAGTATTTCTCCCTAAGGAGAAATCAGAGTTTTGATGTAGTGATGGCAGGCTGGGGGATGGACACATTCTGAGACGTGCGGGCCCGTGTCTTCATCCTCGTCTCCAGCACATGCTTATATGTGAGACATAACCACCGTCAGTATTTCAGTGTCTTTCATCTTTATCTATACCCATATAGCTATATCTAGTATAAGTAGAGATAGTACCAGATATGTAGGTCTGTATATAGCATAATCACTTCTCCACATGGTTACAAATTATTTGTGAACATTATTTTTAATGCTGCATAACAGTGCATTATTTAGATGAACCAAACTTTATCTAAACTTTCCCCTAATACTTGACATTTGAGACCCTTTCTAATGTCTCATTTTTATAAATAAAGTTTTCATAAATACATTCGAAAACATGAGGACAAATCTTCATTAATTCCTTAGTCTGGATTTCAGTCCCATGATCTTTAATTAGTAAGTCATGTTAGCCCCTGAACCTTGCTTTCCTACCAGTGAACTGGGAATGGCACTAACACACTGTCTGCAAAGTGTCCTGAGGATTCTCCAGTTAGTGACTGGAACTGAGCCTAGAACAATGCCTGGCACGTAGCGGTTCTTGGTGTTAGTGATTCTGAGCATAGAAGTGAGACCCTGCCAATTAACCATGAATATTTCAAATTTCCAAAGAACCTCTGGAAGACTGAAAGCTCTCCAAGACTCCAAAGAAAATACCTGTGATCCTGAACCTCAGGTACTGTGAGCAGTGGGAAGGAGGGCTTCTTTTGGGGCAGAGTTGTGCCAGAATGCCCTCAATCCCAGAGCAGAGATGCAGAGGGAAGGCCCAGACTACCAGCCTTATTTTCTAGTCCAGCTCCCCCCAGACTCTCTTTATCATACCCTTTAATCCTCCATAGTTACTGATGCCCAGGAAAGGCTTTGGCAAGGCTCCTGTGGGCTCCTGGCCCAGGTGGCTTCTTCGTACTCCCCTCACACACCTGGTAACCCTTCTAGGTGCAGTGTGACACCCCTCTTTCATCTTGCTCCTTTTCCTGGGGTACAGGGCTAAACAGATGAACCAGCTTCCTCTAATTCTGAGAAAGATGATGCATGGCAAAGTGATAAGGGTTTCATCTAGTTCGAGTCTCCCATTTTATAGACAGAGAAACTGAGGCTACATGAAGGAATGGAAAGAAATGAGCTTGAGAGTCAGCCAGACCTCGTCTCAACTCCAAAATCTGCTGCTTCTCAAGAGTTACATAATATACTTGTGCCTCAGTTTCCTCACCTGTAAACAGGTTTGCTAAGAGCTTCCCTCCCTTGAGGGGCCGCTATGAGCATCAACTGAGAGAACATCTCCTGTGAATGACACCTGATGAACACAAGATGCTCTACAAATGGAAGCATCATGAATGGCTCCAACTCCCCTTTCGTCCACACGAGGAAGCTGAGGCCCAGAGTGGCAAAGGCTTGTCCCAGGTCACAGAGCGAGTTGGTCATGGTGATAGGACTGAATATCCTAAACACAGCTCAGCAGGGACTCACCTGCCCATGGGGACACTGTGTGATGTGAAGGGTGGTGACAGCAAACCTGCAGGACAGAAACCAGGATTGGGGTCCTGGGGTCCTTCCCAGCACAGCCCCTGTGAAAACAGCTCAGATACCACCTGCCTGGAGTCACCTCCCTTCTGAATCCTTCTTGGGAGGACTGGTTCCCAGTATATCCCATCCAGATCAGGCATACAGCTTGTGCCTAGGTACATGCACACTGAATTCATTTAACACAACCTCACTGAGGACATAATCCTGGGATCCACAACGGCAGAGCAGGAAGACACTGAGAGGTCTCCTACTTTCTCCCCTCATCACTCAGGTGGGGAGACTGAAGCCCAGAGAGGGGAAGGGATTTCTCCAGAGTCACACCCAGAGCCAGGACCAAGACCCAGGTGTCCTGACTCTGAGACCGAGGCTCTTTCTGACGGGACATGCCCTGTCTGTAAACACTGCCCTGAGGAATAAGCCTCAACGTTTTCTCCCGGCTGGACACACATTCCTGGTCATACTCCCAAGGTGCCCAAGCTGCTAAGTGGTTCTGACCACCCTCTCCACTCCTGCTCAGAAAGTCTGGCAGAGGATGTTAAGATGATATTATTCCACGTCTAACTCTGAATACCCTCTCTTCTAATTTTTAAAAAGCAAGTCACAAACTCTGGAATTGTAGCCATTGGGGTATCATTTGCTTGTGAGCCCCCTGCGTTGGTTCACACACTGGGCCTGGGACCCCTGCCCCACAGAAAATGCTGTAGTGGAGAAGCCGGCCCAGTAAGGGAGATGCAGGCAATGAAATGAGTTTCAGGGCTGGAGAGTAGAAATGTTCATGGGATTATTCAGCCAGAAAATATTCCCCAGGGCCAGCTCTGTGCCAGTCCGGTGTCAGCGCTGAGGGCACAGAGCTCAAGAGGAGGGTCAGAAAGGTCCCACATCTGAGGGCTATGATCCACGAAGGATGAGCATGTATCTATCACTGGGCCAAGTCGGGGAAGATGATCCACACAGGGAATAGCAATATGTAGACAAAGAGGCCAGAACACATGTTCTATGAGGGTCTGTCCTGTTCTCCAGTGTTTTCCCTGGCTCACAGCGGGATATCTGCTGAATGAATAAGTGGACGGAGAAAGGAATATAGGAGTCTTGCATGACTGGAGGTGTGTGCTAGAGACTGTCAGGCATGGAGAGATGGGGAGAGGCCAGACTGCGACAGCACTGAATGCCCAGCTGAGGCACCTGCACTTTCTCCTGGGCTCCCAGGGAAGCAGCGACAGCAAGTTAGCAGAACCCAAATGGGACTCCTGCTTCTAACCATGGGACTGATGGCACTTGACAGAAACGAATTTTTCTACAACCCTGACTTCTGGGAATATTCTAATCATGAGCGGCCTCCTGTGGAGCAGACAGAATGCAGGCCTGACCTTCTGAAGCCTCAAGTGCAGTTTCCAAGGAGGGGCTTCGGTGGGCCTTGGACCAGTCACTCCGCCCACCCGCCCTGGGGCTCGGTTCTGGGCAAGGTGCCCTCCAAAGAGAGCTCTCAGGTCACCTCCAGCTCCTTGTCCAGAGTCCAGCCATGGCCAAAGGAACTGCAGGAGGCCAGGCAGGCAGAGTCCATCTTACCAGATCAGAGAGTAGCTGAACCCCAGGATGGAGCTGACCAGCCGGAACTCCGACGAGAGGCAAGCAAAGAAGGGGAAGTGGGACAGGCCGACTTCGATGCCTCCGATCAGAAGCACAAAGGCTGGGAGAGATAGGGCCAGAGATGACGTGAGTTCCTCTTCTCACGGGCTCAGGGGAGACCCAGGGCAGTTATGGGGTTTCGTGTAACTTGCAGTCACAGACCTCAGGACTTAAGGAGATGAGTGGACAAGCCCCAGATTAGTACAAGGAGGAATGCAGGGATGTCTTTCATGCATTCATGCAACAGGCCCTTCCTGGTACCTCTTCCATGCCAGGCACTGGGCTAACTATTGAGATGAAGAAGACTTCGTCCCTGCCCTTGATTAGCTCACAGTACGATGGGCAGAAACATACCACAAAAATGAACAAACAAAAATCACTGAGAGTAAAGCACCATGAAGTGTACCATAGCAACACAGACAGCAGTGATGTACTGTGTTCTAAAAGCCCTTGTGCACTTCATCCATAAGGCAATAATAATATTAATGCTGCCACTGACTAGCTCTGAGATGGTCTAACAGGATCCAGTAGAATGTAATTGGGCAAGGTGACCTTTCCTAAGTGTCTACTTTGAGCTGGGTCGCGGGTCAGGCACCAAGGACATAGGGGGAATGAACAAAGTTCTTGCTTTGAGATGCTTACAGTCCAAAAGGGAAGACAGGAAGGAAAGTAAACGATGTGATATGTACGGTAATAGAGGCATATTCAACCTGCTGTGTGGACAAGAAGAGGAAGTCATGGACCTCACCTGGGGTCTGGGTATCAGAGAAGGCATCCTGGAGGTGGTGACATTTAGCAAGGCCATGAAATATAAGTGGGAGTTTGGAGGATGGAGAGAAGGAGGGGAGATGGTTGGTTGAGGTGGTCAGTATTTGTGTAAATGTGAATAGTGGGGGGCTGGCAGCTAAGGACCATATAAAAGGAATAATTGCTGTGAGGTTTGAAGCTGCAACAGCATAATTTTTTAATTTATCTAAATTCCCCCAACCATGAAAGCAGACAGAGCAGTGAAGATAGCAAAACCAAAAACAAACATCTACAACAAATCTAAGTGACAGGACTCATTTGATATCAACATCTGATTAAGAGGAAGCAGAGGAAAGACAATAGGATCTTTGAAATCCCAAGAACAGAAGAACCCAAAATTGCCAGCAGATATTCACAGGAAATTGAAGCTGAAATAACAGCTGAAACTGGGCACAGTGCTGAAGGCCTTGATTCATAGGTGAGAATCAGCAGACCTTAGTAAGGTGTTAGTAGGTCTGAGGATGCTGGAGCCATCAGGGCCCATGAGCTCATTATACTAAATATCCAAGTCCCCTCCCAGCACAAGCCCCACGTGAAAGAGAAACTGCTGGCAGTGAGAATCCAAAATGAGAAGGTAAGGACATTAGGAACTGGGTAGTAGTGGGTCCCGACAAAAGTGGAAGGAAGAAGCCAACTCAGAAAATATGAGGTTGTAATGAGGGTACATATATATAATCATTCTGTAAAAAAAGAAGAGGAGGGGCTTCCCTGGTGGCGCAGTGGTTGAGAGTCCGCCTGCCGATGCAGGGAACACGGGTTTGTGCCCTGGTCCGGGAGGATCCCACATGCTGCGGAGCGGCTGGGCCCGTGAGCCAGGGCCGCTGAGCCTGCGCGTCCGGAGCCTGTGCTCCGCGACGGGAGAGGCCACAACAGTGAGAGGCCCACGTACCGCAAAAAAAAAAAAAAAAAAAAAAAAAAAAAAAACAGAAGAGGAACCCTTGAGCCATGAAGCAAGAAACAATATTCTGGTCCAGCCAGATGCTCAACGTCAATTAGTCTTCAAGGAAACACAAATCAAGAGAACAATCAGATTCTACTTCACACCTACTAAGATGTGGCTATAATTTTTTTAAAAAATAAATATAAATAACAAGTGTTGGCTAGGATGTGGAGAAATTGGAACGTTCACATATTGCAGGTCAATGGAACACAATGGACAGTCCAGAAATAGACCCATACATACACATGTGTAGCCAACTGATTTTCAACAAAGGTGCAAAGGCAATGTAGTGGGCAAAGGACAGGTTTTTGTAACGACAACAGTGCTGGAACAAATGGATAGCCAAAGGCAAAAGAAAAAAAAAAAAGGAATTCAATCCACACCTCACACTATATATTCAAAAAAATTAACTCAGAATGTACCATAGACCTAAATGTGAAACACTGTGAGACTATAAAACTTCTAGAAAACACAAAGAAGAAAATCTAAGTGACCTTAGCTTAGGCAAATATTTCTAATATGACATCATATGCATGATCCATAAAAGAAAATACGAAAAAATTAGATTTCATCAAAATTTAAAATGTCAACGCTTCAAAAGAAACTGTTGGTAGAATAAAAATACAAGCAACAGACTGGGGAAAAGTATTTGCAATTTATACATCTGACAAAGGACTTATATACAGAGTATATAAAGGACTCTCAAAACTCAATAAGAAGAAAACAAAAAATCCCCAATATTTTAAAATAGGCAAATAATTTGAACAAACGCTTTACCAAAGAAGGTACAGTGATAGCAGATAAGCACATGAAAATATGCTCAACAACAACAGTCATTACAAAACTGCAAACTGAAACCACAGTGAGATACCACAACATGCCTCTTAGAATGGCTAAAATTAAAAAGACTGACCATGTGTTGTCAAGGACACAGAGAAACTTAACTCTCATACACTGAAGGTGGTAATCTACAATCAAACGGAACCATCATTTTGGAAAACAGTCTGACAGTTTCTTTAAAAGTATAATCTACTACATGATCTTAATAATCCAGACATTCCATTCAAAGGTGTTTACCCAAGAAAAATGGAAACATACAAAGACTTATAATGCTTACAGCAGCTTTATTTGTAACAGCCAAAAACTGAAAATAAATCAAATGTCTATCAATAGATGAATGGATAAACAAACTGTGGCCTCTCCATACGGTGGAACACTATTCAGAAATGAAAAAGGAATGATTTCTGATACATTCTAAACATATACTAATCTTAAAACAACTATGCTGTGTGATAGAAAACAGACCCCCTCCCCCCCAAAAAAAACCCTGATTGCATTCTGTATGATTCCATTTGCATAACTGCCTGGGGATGGGGGTGGTGACTGGATGGGGTGGGAAGGAGAAAGTACAAAGGGGAAAAAGTTAACTTCTGGGGTTCATTATCATGATTGTGGTGATGATTTCATAGATGTAAACATTTGCCAAAGCTTAACTTGTACACTTCTAAGAGATGTATCATTTTGGTTTTAATTGGCATTAAAAACTCCTAAAAACTAAGGTGATGTTGTAGGCATTCGCTCATATAGGCTTGGAACCCAGGAGAGAGAACCAAGCTGGACAGGAGATGTTTGGGAGTCATTGGATTAGGGATGGTTGAACCTGCAGGGAGAGCACAGGGCACGGGGAACAAAGAGGCCTCAGATCAATGGCCAGAGGAGTAAACATTATTCCCTGAGGAAGCATCTGAGGGCTTACTGCTATCAAGAAGGCAGTCATGGCTATGACTCAGGAGAGATTTCTAGGGTTGGTGACAGTGAACCTATTTTCTGAGACTTTGTTCTACTATGTCTAAAAAACCTTTGAATCTAACTGGGAGAAAATCCCCACAAAAAAGCTTGAGACTTTGTGGGCTTGGCATTGACCTTGGGCAAGTAACAAGCTAAGAAGAACATTGACAGTTCAACAAAGTTTATCCCCTGATCCCAGAGAACCCCTGCCATGCAGTCTCCAAGAGCAAAAGTTTCCACGGCAAAACTCCCAGCAGGTATGAGGCAGCACACGTACCTTGGGCCCACTGTGGGACCTGCAGGGGCTGGTAGCCTTCTGAGAATAAGAACATGACCTTATTGGCTGTAGCCCCAAAGGCTACTCCATAGGACCATCGGTTACGAAAAGTGCCCACGAAGTCCAGAGGTCTGTGAATAAGAGAAACAGCTCGTGAGGCCAGAAGTGGCTCCTTCCCACAGTTCATTTCCAAAGTATCAACCCCACTCTGGGGAGGGACTATTGAGTAGTAAACTATTTATTTCAACTGACATATCCTGAGGCCCTCTGTGCCAATTTGGGGGCTAGGCATAGATTCAGGGTACCAAAGTGAGGAAGACAAAATCCTTGCCCTGGAGAAGCTCCAAGTCTGGGAAACGTAAGCAAGGACACCAGCAGTCATGACAATAAGCAAAATGGGATGAATTTCATCTATGAGAGACACAAGCAGTATGACTTGAGAAACCAAAACAAAGAGTATGTGCCAGACAGGTTGGGGGAACCTGCCCTGCACCTGGCCATGGTCTACGGGAGTCCTCCTTTCCAATATCCCTGGGAAGGTTTGGGTATCACTGGCTATGCTAGTTGCATATGATCACACTCCCTGGCCACAGCTGATTGGACTATGGGTGGTCAGATGGTCACCTGACTTTGGATGGGCCAATCACCATGCCTGGCCTTGTATTTTGGATCTGTGATTCTGAGGACAGGAGCCAGTCAGCTGTTAAAATTCTGTTCTGGAAAGTCATGCCAAACTGAGCCTTGCCGACGTTTGGAGGAAGCAGAGATCGTTAAGTTTGATGATAAAGTCAGATGGCAGAGAGGAAAATGGTAAAATGGTGCTGAAGGGACCCCAGTGACACAAAGAGGCAAAAGTAGAATCCGTCTCCCAGAGACGCCCATCTCAAGAGCTCTAGTTCCCATGAGGCCAACCTTGCCAGTTTCTGTGAGATCTCTGTAACTTTATAAAAAGTCCTTTCTTTTCCTTTTATGCAAACAAGCTTGAGTGGATATCTGTTTCCTCTAACCAAAAGAGCTTTGTCTACATGAGAGAAAGCAATTGCATTTGAGACAAAGAGAAAAGGCTTTCCCCACTGGAGTGCCATTTGAAGCGGGCTTAATGAAAACTCAAGGTGGCAGGAAGGGAAGGGTACTGCAGGTGGGGACTTGGGAGTCAGGATCTGGACGCCACCTTCCTGTTCCATTTGGCTGGCTCGTCTTCATCTTCAAGGCACAACTCAGGGAGCACCCCTCTCAGAAACCTCCCTGACAACCCACTCCCAATCAGGCACACCTACTTGCTACCTTGCTTGGGTCCCCTCAGCGCTAAGTTCATGTCCATGCTTTTCTTATCACTTGTTTAGTGAACTATAAACTCCTCTGGAGTGGGACCTAGCATAGGGCTTTGAAAAGAGTAGCTGTTCACTGCACGTTCGTGGACACGCACTTTGTTGAACTGATTTGAATTCTAATCAATTCCACCTGTAGTACATAAGCGCTATGTGGGACTCAGTCTCCCTATCTTTACAACAGAGATGACACCCCTGCTCTGCTCATATCACAGAGACACTGTGGATGGCAAATGAAGACCTGCTTTATAAACTGTGGAGCGTCATGCACATGCGAAGGATTATTAATGGGTGAAGACGGTGAGCTAAAATTACTCAGGAAAGTAGGGCTTTTCATAAGAAAGTGGCCAGAGAGCAAGAAAACTGTGCCTTTATTAATTGAATTCAAAGCAGTTTAACATGATCCACATAGCGGTCTTACTTAAAAAGTCCTACACCAGGCCCTACAATGCCATATGCCCAGGGCAAAGTCTGAAGATCTTCTTTATCCACCAGCCTCAGTCTCTCTCTTGCCTCAGCCAATGTGGCTTAGACCTGGCAGTTTGGGAGAGGCTGACTGCTCTAATGGGTGGTAACCAGAATGTTTGCTACTCTGGGCTGGTATATGGTATATGGACATTGTTGTTGGATTTCTCTCACCGCAAAGGTCAGATCACCCTTAGACTCCATCCTGACATTCCTCTCCCTTCTCCAGAGCCCAAGGCTGAGACCTGAGTGTGTTCACATCCTTGAGTCTTCTCAGGTTATGACACTGGGAGAATCAGAGCCAAAAGCGACCAGACCTGGGTTAAAGCTCTTGTCACTTGGTAGCTCTGTGGCCTTGGGCAAGTGACTCAACTTCTCTGAGCCTGAGCTAGCTCATCCATTACATGAGGATAATAACCTCCACCATGCTGGGGTCCATCCTAGTAGCGTAGGCAAAGCAGATGGTTCAATGCCTGGGCCAGAGTCAGTATGCAATAAATGCTAATTGCATCATCATCATCATCATTAGTAGCAATTAGAGGGTGATGAGGCAGAGAGGTGAACAATTAGAACTCAAGGAAAAATGTGAGAAGGGGAGCAGAGATTCAGAATGGCAGAGTTGGAAAGGCCCTGAAAGCTCCCTGGTCCAGCGGGCTCTCCTGGGGCATGTCTCATGCCTCCATCCCAACAAGGAGGCTTGCTGCCACCAGTGACAGGGAACTCTCTCCCCCCTGCTTCTTGGGGTAGCCATGGTGCTGAGTGTGGGAAGGCCTTTCCCATAGTGAGCTGAGCCTCTTCGAATTGTTTTAAGCACTTCTGGGCATCCCTGGGTGCTGAGGGCGCAGTAGCTTGGAAGCCAATTCTGAACTCTCTGGGCCTTGGGTGGATTGGGTCAGGGAGGGGCAGGGCTGTCCACTGCAGGGTAGAGGTGGGTGGGGAGGTAACTGGTGGTTAGCCTAGTCTTACAAATGGTGTTGGTCCCAAACACAGAGTACCCCAAGCTGTAGTGATGGACCTTGCCTCAACTCACATGATCATTCTGAAGCGGTTACCCAGGAGGTAAGAAGCGTCATCTCTCTGTCTATGGTGCTCTCGTCTTTGGAGAAGGGACAAGACCAAAATGATGAAAAGCTATAGAAAGAGAAGATGAGTTTGTCAGAGGGAACATTCATCCTTAGCCCCTCGGTACCCTCGCTGAAGAAGAGTGTGTGGGTGAGCGAAGCACTCAGAATGTCTAGGACTCAAACTCCAGACTTGGAGAGCTGGCTGCATGCACCGTTGAGCTTCCAGAATGTTTTGTACTGAGCTTTCCTTTGTGTTGCTCTGAACAGACATGGGTTCAAATACAGTCTCTCCCACATACTGGCTGGGAGGGAGACTTAACTTCTCTGAACCTCAGTGGCCTCAACCGTAAAAAATGGGTAATCACTTTCAGGTTGCAAATCCTTCTTTGCTTTTTATTCCTGTGGATTCAGTCATATTCTCCTATACTTGATGCCCCTTTTCTTCTTTTACTGGAAAATTCCTGAGAATTATCTACACTTGCTGTCTCCATTTCCTCACCTCTCACTTGCTCTTTGACCCCCTAACATGGCTTCTACTCCCATACTCCACGGAAGCAGTTCTGGCCAAAGTCACTAATTACCACCTTGTTGCTCAATCCAAATGTAAACATTAAGCCCAAATCTGCTTGACCTCACAGCAGCATTCAGTGTTGACCTCTTCTTCCTCTTAGAAATACTCTCTTCCCTATGCTTCTATCAGCCACACTTTTCTGGTTTTCTTCCAGTAATTCTCAGTCTCCTTTGCTGGATCATTCTTTACCCAACCACCAGATGTGAAGCTCCTCATGGTTCAGTCCAAGGACCACTCATCTTACTCCCCCATCCTCTCTTCCTCAGTGATCCCATCCATGTTCACACTTTCAATGGCTACCAAGTACACAGAAGACTCACAAACTTGAATCTCCAGCCCAGCTGTGGTCCAGAATCATATGTTCAACTACACAGTTGGCATTTCTTTTTGATGTGTTGAATGCTTCTCAAATTCAGTATGTCTTAAGTGGAACTCTTGATTTTCCTCCCTGCCCTGTTCCTTCATCCACAACAAACTTGGATGCCCTCTAACTTTCCTTAACAAGTGAATGGCAGATACCACCATCCTTCCAGCTGTGCAAATTACAAACCCAAGAGTCATCCTCAACCTCTCCATCTCCCTCATCTCTCTATCCAACCCATTACCAGGTTCTACTGCTTTTACCCCTTGAACTTCTGGAGGTGACCACCATCATCTAGGATGATGTAAAATCACCTCACCGGGACCCCTGCAACTATCTCCTAACTGGTCTTCCTGCCTCCTCTCTTACCTGCCTCCAACCTGGTCCCCACTTGCAAACAGAGTGATCATTTCAATACATAAATCTGATCACACCATCCTTGGGCCAGAAACACTCCACTACTTCCCATTGTATTTAGAACAAAGACAAAATCTTTCATACACGGCCTGGCCCTGCCCACCTCCAATTCCCCACTCCAGCCACGCCAGCCTTCTCAGCTCCTCACACTCTCCATGCTCCCGCCCGCCACAGAGCCTTTGCACATGCTCTCCCCTCTGCCTGAAATGTTCTTCATTACGTCTCCCAACAGACCTCAGATCCAGCACTGCTTCCTCAGAAAAGCCTTTTTTGACTCCCCTAAAAGTCAGTGCCCCTGACTCTTGGGACCTTCAAAGCCTTCTTCTGCCTGTGTTTTTAGCGCATAATGTAAGAGAGCAAGTCTCTGCTGACCTATTCAGATCGCTTTGGGAGACTGCGTATGGGAGCACCCCAGCTCCCCTTCTCTTCCCTCATCCACCCTCCCCTGCCTTCACTTACTGATGGGATGAGGGAGTAATGGAGGAAGAGCTCCATGTCCACCGAGCTAGCACAAGTGCCATTTAGCTGCCTGGTCCTGAAAAACAACCAAAACACACATTCACATCATCAGTCACTGCTGCAGTCATTGACCCTTCAGCCTTGAGCATCACTGTCAGGAATTTGGCTTGTGGCCCACTGAGATCATCTGATCTTTTTTAACTTCTGTTTCTGAGTCAGTGCCACTCACCTGTGATGTGTCTTCCCTAAGTGGATTATCTTCTTTCATATCTCTTTCTCCAGCTTAATTATCTATACAACTGCCCTACTAACTGGATCTAACTCCTTCTTTTCTTGATGACACAGTCATGGACAGATTCAGGTTCCTTGGCACCGAAAGCTTATATTATTTGGATGTCCTTTTCAAATAAAACTACAAAAATATCGTATCTTTTCATATTTTAAGGAAAACATATCACCATGTAAACACTTAACCAAGGTGCCTCCCACCCTCCTAGAGCCTTGGTAGGGTCCTGTGCAAGTGAGGGCCCCTGAGACTTAAGCTTCGGTAACTTCACAGGAAACCAGCCTTTGGACATGGTTTTTCGTAGCCAGAGGCCAAGAAGCATCTGCTCACTCTGATTCACTGCTGGGCTATTGGGGCAGGACAGTGGTCATCTGGACAACTGACTGTGGACTCTGTCCTCTCCAGACCTCAGAGTCTGCAGGACAAGGCTGCTGGGGTCTCGTGTGTGAAACACATAACAGCAGTTTCCTGGCCTCTCTTTGAAAGGGACCTGCTCCCTTATGGGCTCCCGCCACACTTCGCTATCGCTGCTCTGACTTGCACTGCACCACCTCAGCAAACGCTCACCCTCCAGATCCTTGCTCACTCTGTGCCTCACTCCTCCAGCATCCATCTGGCCATCCCTCAGGCTTCCTTCCCGGTCAGCTCCCACTTTTCCCAGAAGTCTCAGGGAAGAGCATTCCTCTGGGAATCCATGAGCATGGCATACTTCCCTGAAAGTTTTTTAAATTCCAGTACTCCACGGTGATGTCTAAACATAGGAATGAGACAACCTAGAAGTGGTGGGGGGAGATGAGGGTGACTCATGCTGTCGGAAATGTGATAGAACTATAAAATTTAGAATTCTGTTTTTAGGAAAGTAAACTGAGCACATACATCAGTCTCCTCGTTCTACAAAAACCCTCAAAATAGCAGAAAAGATTTTTTTTTTAAGAAAAAAAAAATAGCCATATTTGAAAACAAGAAGGGAATCTATCAGGGACACAGAAACTACTGGAAGATGCTGAATGATGGAGAGCAGTTAGGACTAGATCAAAGAGAAAAAGCATCAGCCAGCATGGCTACAGGCTGTGACCACAGAAAAGTGCTCTACACTCATATGCAAGAGGCTGATGCAGGCAGGGGTGCCGACAGACCACAGAATGATGAATTGGGGTCTCACAGAGACCCAAGAGTCCTCCCACCCTGCTGACCGACCAGAGGCAATGGGGTTAACCTCTCTGGGAGTAGTGTACATGGGTCACAGAGAGAAAGGCAGTACTCCAGATCACAGGTGGCACCTGGGAAGGACGGGGTGCTTTGGATGTAGATCAGCTGCTGAGGTACCCCATCAAGCGGTACATCCTACCTCCATCCTGCTGCACTGAAAGCACGCCTTAGTACTAGCTGTGGCAGCAGCTGCCACCCACTCCCAAACAAATACCCCAGTGGAAGCTCCAGCACAAAGACAAGCACCCAACCCAGAAACATCAAACATGAGGAAAGATTACACAACCAAAGGGAGCCAAAACTTCAACAGATAGAGGAGCTTACTCCTAAGGAAATGAAGTTAATACAGAACCTCTCTGAGATAAGGAGTAGAGGAAATTCTCTACAAGAAGAATGAACCTAGGAGGAAGTAGAAGGGTGCAAAAAGCCTCAGAAAGTAATTAGCAAAACTTCCCATTATTCCTGAGCACAGGACTTTAAATATATACACATATATACATACATTTTTAGAAACACAAAGACTCAGAAAGACCTTCATTGAAAGAAATATTGGAGGAAATTGTCAAGTAAATCTAGGAGGAAGGGGAAGAATTTAAGAGGAATAACAAACAGAGAAATTAGGAAAATGTATTGTTAAATATCTAGGTAATTATTGTGAAATAAAATGTTTGAAATGCCAATTTGGAGTTGAAATACCAGATGATACCCCACATGGAAGAAGGGAGAGGTGGGTAGGAACAGAATTAGATACAAAGGGAAGTGAAATGATGACCAAGTTCTTGTCATGCTTAGAAAGATGATGTAGAAACCTGCTTTCTCTTTTTGGGCTTTATAAGTAAAATATAATTCTAAGTAAGTATGTTAAAAATCCACAGTTAGCTACTAGAAGGATATAAATAGAAAGTAAATCAATGTATTAAGAAGTGTATATGAAGGAATGAAAATTCAATCACTCCAGCAAATACAGGAAGAGAAAAAAATGAAATAAAGACTACAATTGAAACACCACAAGAACAAAACTGTCCAAAGAATATTAAGCCACCAACAAAGAAGAAATACAAATATTCAATAAATTTTTAGAATTTCAACTAGTAATAAAAGGAGAAATTAAGATGAAATGCTGTCTTATCTATTAAAGTGGGAGTTATTAACAATACCACCCAGCAGGGGTCCCCAAGCCCCAGGCATGGACCGGTGCTGGTCCACAGCCTGTTACAAACCCGGGCCGCACAGCAGGTGAGCTGCGGGTGAGCGGGGGGACAGGGGCTTCTCAGGCAAGAACTCAGAAGGCTCGGATCCTTGAGGGAACATCGTTTTGCCTCTCCCACGACTGATGAATGCAGACGGACACACAGGAATCTCGCCCCCGCTTCCACCCCCGCCCCCCCCCCCACCCCCACCCCGTTACCGCCCCGCTTCCGTGGAAAAACTGTCTTCCATGAAACCGGTCGCTGGTGCCAAAAAAGGTTGGGGATCGCTGCTACCCAGCATTAGCGAAGGTTAAGACAAGTTGGTATTCATTTGCTGGTAATCAGAAGTGTAGGGAGGTATAACCATTCTGAGGATTAACTTTGCAATATACACCAAGAACCTTTAAATACAGCAATTCCATTTCTAGGAATTCTACTTCTAAAAAATATACACTACGGAAATAATCAGAGAGGTGCCTGAATTCAGCTACTAGAATGCTAAGATTCTCAACTCTTCCTGCCTCCCTCCCTCCCTCATATGTGTGTATAACATTTTAAATGTAATATATGTTCATCGTAAAACATTCAAAATACTTACAAATGTATAAAGTAGTAACTAAAAGCCCTTTCTCCTTCCATAATTATGTGTGTTTATAACCTGTAGTTTCAAGCAAAAACAGGATCAGACTAAACTTGATTTCTTCATTTAATCAATAAAGGAAATGGAATTCATTTAATAAAGAAAGGCAATTTCTAATATTAGGATATACAGACCCACAGAACTCTTTCATCAGGGTGACTCTGCCTACACAGATTCACTGCTGAGCCGGTCTTTTGCTTGGAGGGCAGAGCTGAGAGTTAGTCTGGCAGTAGCTAGAAACAGGTGAGCTCAGGGACAGTAGAGAGTGTAGCTCTCTAAATAAGGGGTCCATAGCTATGCTTTCACTCCAGCAGTGAACAGATGAAGCAGGTACTGGAGTCAATCCAAGTTAGAAGGCCACTGAGAGCCCCTTCTTGGTCTCTGAGACTCATACTGCTTCCTAGTGGGTCCAGGGCTTGAGGGGCAGATCTGTCGAGGGGTAAACAGCTTTTGCAGGACAGCAGCCAAACAGCAGCCCCAAATGTAGAAAATCCGATTTCCACTGATGATAGCTTGGAACTGTGTTTATGATACACTGTTAAGTGAAAAAAAAAAATTATAAAACAATATGATCCCAAGTTGTGAAGAGTGGTCATCTCTGGGTTGTAAGATTTGCATTCATTCTACTTTTTTTTAATGATTTTCTTGAATTTCCCAAGGGTAGTACACAGATGCATTGCTTGATAGCTGCTTAGAACAGTGCTTGACACAAAATAGACAGTAATAAACACATGTCGAATGAATAAATGGCTTGCTTTTGTAATCAGGGAAAAGACTGGACTTTATGCCAAAGCAATAAAACACCATTCTGAAGGGAAGCTGCCCAGGAATCAGCATAAAGTGAAAACATGCAAGATTTCATCTGTGATAGGGTATAAATTACAAATCTTTCATTATTTAAAAACTATTGAAAATAAAAAGCTATGAGGGTGAAACAAGCAAGGACACACAGCTGGTGCATCCAGAGTAAGGGTCGTCTACGTTCCCAACTCCTTTCTCCAACACCCCACGCTGATTGCCTGATGGCCTTGGTGGGGTGTCTCTGTGCTCCCGCAGTCCTGATTCCTTTGGTCCTAACATTATCACTCTATAGTCACAAGTTAGGGCTTCCCTGGTGGTGCAGCGGTTAAGAATTCACCTGCCAATGCAGGGGACACGGATTTGAGCCCTGGTCCGGGAAGATTCCATGTGCCGCGGAGCAACTAAGCCCGTGCGCCACAACTACAGAGCCTGCGCTCCAGAGCCCGCGTGCCACAACTCCTGAAACCCAGGCTCCTAGAGCCTGTGCTCCACAACAAGAGAAGCCACCGCAATGAAGAGTAGCCCCTGTTCACCACAACCAGAGAAAGCCTGCGCACAGTAACGAAGACCCAACTCAGCCAAAAATAAATAAATAAAATAAATAAATTATAGTCATAAGTTAAACATATGATAATAACTTTTATTGATTAATGTCACGTTATTGTGTGTCACTATGTCCTAGGAATTCTGCTATTTTATATTACCTTATTTAATCTTTACAAGAATCTTATGAGGTAGATTGTATTACCTCCTTTTCACAATGAGGAACTGAAGCCAGGAGAGGTTACCTAACTTGCCCAGGAGGAGGTGAGGCTGGGAGCCAGGCACCCCTGCATGTCACCATCCTCCCAGCCCCCGCTGCTGGCTCACGTGGCCCCTTGAAGCTCCTAGCATTCTCTGACCTTCCAGGCTATGGCTGACTCATCTCTGATCCCAAGTCCAGCCCAGCA